AATAATACAACACAGTCAGAGTCACTGGGGCTCAGGGTAGGTGATAGGGCATTGGAACAGGCTGCCCAGGGAGGTGGTGAAGTCACCATCCCTGGCTGTGTTTAAGGGCCGTTTAGATACAGTGCTAAGGGACATGGTGTAGGGGAAGACTTTGTAGAGTAGGGTAGATGGTTGGACTCGATGATCCCAAGGGTCTCTTCCATAGAATCTGAATGATTCTATGATAAGAGCCTAAGACACAGAAGCAACTCTAAGTGGGCTGTTCCCCAACTTTGTCTGATAGTTACCTGATGTGGTCTTATTCAACTGCTGTCCTTGGCAGCCTACCCACTTTTTTTGCTGGTTTTCCACAACAGGAGTAATTCCTGGAGCAGGGAGCAGAGTCCAGTACTCATCACTCTCCCATCACCGCTTCAGGCACCAGCTGCACAGCGAGGCTTCTGGGAGCAGTTGTTCCTACCTGTGATGCCAGAGTCATCACCCAGAGATACCACAGTCAGCTTCTCATTACGAAAGCAGGTATTTGTGGAAAATCTTTGTAAACAAAAAGTTACCACAGTATATTATTCTGATTGTTTTCTTAAGAAGAATGACTAATTTAAAGTGCCTGTATAATGTTGTCCTTACTCAGGCGAAATGCTTGTTAAATTTAATGGGTTACTTTACGTAGGTATTTACAGTGAATGCAAAAAATTCTCAGCAAGGTAGAGTCTACTAGCACTATCCCAGTGTAAAAGAAGAGGATTTATCCTGCTGGCACCATCTGTAGGGGCCAGCCCATGCAGCCATTGTGCCTCTCTTTCACAGCAGTCCCAATGACTTATCCACCACTACTTCATTTAGTTCCTGCCTTCTAGCAGCCTGCAGCAGGAATTTATCATGAGTTAGCAGCACGTGGAGCAGCATCTGCCTCCATTAAATGCAACTAGAGTTTTACAAAGTTTTGTGAGTCTGGCAGTTTATGGCTTTATTCCAAATGTTTATGGCTATCTGATCCAAATCAATCTGATGTGCATTCCCCACTTCATTTTCCTGTTATTTCACGTTAGAACCTTCCTCTTTGGCAGCATGTCATGGAAACCTTCTCCCAAAGACAGGTAGGGATGTAAGAGGCATCTAACATAGTAATAAAAAGGAGATGAGGGGACATACTTCTGGTGCACTTTACAGTAAACGCTGTAATATGTTATCAAAGAAACCATTTGCTTTCAAATAAACAACAGTAAAACTATAACTTCTGAGCTTAGATGAGAGGAACATCGTTTGCTGTCAATACATTATCATAGCTGTATCTATCTGTGAGCCTAAAACCTCATAGATGCTGTTATAAGAATACAAAATGTATTCTTCTGCATTAAAATAGCAGTGACTGTGTGTAGCTTTTGCTTACCTACTTTTTAGGACAGGTATATTTTTGGGAAGGTACTGCATCCCTCTAACTGCAAGAATCCCCAAAACAGCATTGGCTGTATTTTGCACTATCTGGGAAGGAACCTGTGCAGAGGCAGTGACAGCAACCAGCTGTAAGGCTGTGAGCATGACTCTCTGATGACCCACGTAAGGCTCAGACAGCCATGGGGTCACCAACTCAGAGCTTCAAACTGCAGTGATGCCCCAGCACGTAGCTGCACACATATGCTATATGTTCAGCTATAGGAAAGTTTTCTGCGTATGACATGGCTAGAAGATGAACAGAATGAGAGAGAAACAAAGCACTGAATTTCATTAAATTCACAGCACTCACCTGTCAGCTGGAGTCTATCAAGGGCCTTCTATGAAGTCTCTTTCCCATACCCTGCTTACTGTGTGACAGTGGGGCTGCACTGTCCTGTTGTGTGGCTGGATGGACCAGCTGAGTGAGGAGGGGACCCCATGTTTTGAACTTGGGATGGGTGCCCATGTGAGCGTGGAGTTTGGAAAAAGCCCTGGAGAAAAAGAGCCATGCAGGGCAGCTTGCAGGCGGATGAATGATCTTAGCAGGTTGGACTCAATTTCTGGCCTAAAGGGCTGACAAGAGATCAGCGTCTTAAGAGTAATAAGCTAAACATATTGTCTGGCACAAACAATACTTTTACTTATTGTATCCCCCAAGAAACATATTTACTGCATTTATATTATACACTGACATAACACACACTGACAAGTGCAGGTGTTTTAATTTCAAAGACACTCTCTCACTACCCACAGAGAACTGGGGTGGATGGAGGCTGCCCTCATAGCGGGGGTACAATATGAAAAACCAACTTGGCAGGCAGCTCCAGGGATCTTCACCTTTTGTCACATCTGTGTAGGCAATCCAGTGTGCTGCCCTTAGTCCCCAGACATCCTGCTGCACCTCCACCACCAGTGCTGCAGATTGTCACAAGCCGCTTGTGTGTCTTCAGAAAGGCAGATCTCTGCTCTTCCCTTTCCTGTGTCTTTAGGCATTTAATGTATTACTTTTATAAAAGTATGACTGTTGTGTGGGAATACTGTGGTACACACAATACATGTGAGATGGAGATGTTATTATACATGTTAAGTGCTATTAGAATGTAGTGTATCTCACCACACGTCAGCAGCAGAGGTGACAGCTGGTGTGCGTGTCACCTTCATGCTGGAGTGGCTTGGGATGTTGATGGGCTGGGTGCCCAGTACTTGTCTCCCCGGGCAGTTATAGGGCTCTCCAGAGCTAGTCAGTGAGGGCTCTCCTGAAATGACCCCTAAAGAGCTGTGACTGGTAATAGTGCTGACTCCTAAATGAACACCATGTTGGATAAAATGCAGAGATGGGCGCTTATGGCACTTCTCTTGATTTATGTTTTAAACATAGAAACATTTTGTGGCAAAACTAAGTTTGTGGCTACCTAGAGCAAGCACAACTATGTTTATGTTGCCTGCCCAGCAACACGATATAAGGAAATTTGTTGGGGCACAAGGCAGCAAGAGCAGCAGCAAGGTGCGCTCATGGAGAGCAGAAAGCAGACTGCAGCCCATCGTTAGCTTCGTGTTCAAGCACGGCTACATAAAATAGGGGGAGAAAGAAAATGTACCCGGGCAGGGAAGGTCTCCTAAAAATGGTCTGAGAACAATGTCTGGTTGGCAACTTACATAAAGACTGGGAGACCTGTTGCCAGCAATTCACGGCTGACTGCCCATTTAGATATTAAGAGACAAAAATAGCCATTTATTTTTAAGAAGCAAAAAAAATAGCCATTGTATAGGACAGACTCTTTCTGCGACACCAGGAGTCAGTCAATATTGATGGCTGAACAAAGAGAAGAATAAATCTAAGCCCAGTCTGCCTTCAGTCACCTGCTGGGTCGTGCTGGAGTGTCTTTCATCAGGCCATTATGTTTTGTGAGCTTGTTGGGAAGTCATGGAAAGATCTGAAATTAGAATGAACCCATTTGTGACTCTCACCAGGCAATGCCTATTTCAGTAAACTAGGATCTTATACTCCAGGGCGTGTTGTCACAACTGCTGAACTTTCAGTGGCTTTTGCCTTTTACACAGATACTTCATTACCAGTAATTAATTTGACCATTAGGAATTTTCGAGTTCAGCTTTTCTGTCTTTGATAGCAGCTGACTTTTCCTATGACTCCTTTAAAGCTCTGAAGCTGTAAGGACAGCAGAGCGCCATCTCACATGGCACCATCTGTAGTCTGATAAAAGCGATACTTTATCTTCCAGTGTAATGAGGATAATTGCTCGTATCACCTAAGCAGACAGCTACTAGCTGAAAAAGGCAGTAATTGATTTTTCACAGCCAGTCAGAATGTAGCTGTCTCTATGCCTTTCAAACCTGTCGGTGACACCAACAGCCATCAGTCATACCGATAGCAGTATATCATTTACAACATATATAAAATCAGCAGAGCATACTATCACATGATAAACACTGTCTCTTAACAAGATAAACTACTTACGTATCAGCAGAGCACCACACACCGTGCTGGTGTATGAGGCCTCCCCTCTGTTCTACAGCAGGTGGCTGCTATGCTGTTGAGGATGCTCCGCAGGCTGCTCTCATCTCCTAACAAGCACTGCTGAGTGGCAAACCTGTTATCAGGTGTTATCAGCTGAATTAATAACATCTGTGCTCTTCTGGCTGCTCTAGCGTGCTGTGTACCCTTAATGACAACTTGCACTTCTTCTCAAGCTGCAAACAATGACTTAAATCAGATCTAACTGAGCTTTTGTGTCACTACAGATAGTCTATTTTTTGTCAGTCTGCCATCATGCATTTTCATCATTAACAGAATCAGGCCACTGATTCTACAAATTCTACTTACTTTGTAATCTTGGACTGCAAAAGTGTAATTATCATCATAAAATTCAGCGGCAAGGAGGGCCTAGGCAAATATACTTTTTCTACAGCAGGGCTAGAAGGGGAAAGGACACTTTTGATCTCTCTTGAAATCATCATTTTGGGCGCAAGCGTAGTTTCCTCTTAACCTAGTCCTCAGTGGGACAAGCAGCAGGTGAGTTTGCAAGTCACCAGCCTTCTCGGCAGCCTGTGGTGGGATAGCCCATCAGGCCCACCAGTGGAAGAGAGCTTCCTTCCTCTTTCTTTCTTTCTTTGAGAGTGTTTCTCAGTAGAGGGCCATGGGTGGAAGAGAGCTTCCTTCCTCTTTCTTTCTTCCTTTGAGAGTGTTTCTCAGTAGAGGGCCACGGGCACCTGCATGATATAGACATAATAATGCCAGAGTTATTTGAAAAAAATGGTTCAAGGTCCTGGAGGGATGTTGGTGATGTGCTTTACTGTTGCAGGATTTCTTCTTCCTCTCAAAAACTCTCCTTGCAGTGTATTTGGAAGGAACTTAAGTCAGTGTCCCAGCACTCACAAACTCCAATTGTTCAATGAGAAAGAAAAAGCTCTCTGTTGTCTAAAGATGAAAATTAGGCCGAAATATGTAAATGCTATTAAAAAAGAGACATTCTCTTCTGATTTCTGTCTACATTACACTGGGGTGTGGAGCCTCTTCCATGTACACAAATAAATGGCAGGCAGGGGTATCCATTCCATTTTACGTTTATTATGAAAGTGACTTTAACAAAAGTTTTATTACATGCTTCATTTTGAGCTTTGACATAGAAATCAAAGCTATTAATATACAGAGGCAAAAGGAAATGTATTTTCTTATAAGGTACATTTACAACAACATTTTCTACTACAAATCTGACAGTATTGTTAAAATATTGGTAAAGCTTAGACCACTGTGTTTTATTTTCTAAGTATCAAATTTTGTACAGTTATTCACTATCTTTGTTCTAAACTATCATGGTACATTTCATATGGAAATAGCTGTTTGTACATAATTTACATTCATAATAAAGCTTAGAATTCCCAGCAGCATCTACAAGGGTTTAGTTCAAAAGGTCACTCGTGCCCAGTGATTTTACACGGAGCAAATTGGTACAGAAACCAATATTACACAGACAGGTATTTCCCCCTGAAATCTACTCTACTAGAAATTCCTGCTTAACAGATGATGGACACGATGCACTGAACTTTATGCAGGTGAAACTACTACTGACCTCAGAGGCAGTTTTGCCTAAAAAAAGGCTCTATGATCCCATCCAATACGAGGTTTTATCACTTCCACTGCTACCTACGCGCACAGAGATACCATTCCTTTCCTTGTCTTGTACTGTATTTGGGCATAATCTTTTGAATTCCCTTTAATTTGTGATTTTTGTGTTGTTTCTTATCCTAACAACAGAAGAAGAACTAACTTTAAAATAGATATCCTTTAGACGTTATGAAGATGGTAAGCACTTCAGAATGACACTTGATAGTCAATTCTATGCATTGACTATCAAGCAGGTTAAATTGCTCCAGAGCAGTCTCCCAGTGCCACCAGTGAGACTGCAGAAAGAACAGGAGCAGTAACCTGGACGGATGAATCTGACTACTGACCGCATCCACCCTGGTCTCCCACAGTACTTTTCTAATCATTGTGATGAGTATCTGCTGCTGTCAATGCAAATTAACGGCCTTTCTAAGGTATAAAACATAGAAAACAATATTTACAAAATAATTTTAATTAAAAAAGTAACAAGAACAAACTCTAAAAAAAGATATTTTCACAATCATTAAAATAACGTTTAATTAAGCAAAGCCACTTCTTTTTCTAGATATTGAGAAATTCAGCTAAGATTGAATTGCAATTGTTTGTATATCTTTAAACTTGTTATCTTCGCTTTCTGAATACAGATGGTTTAAATTATTACATCTAAAGGTACTTCTGTACATTTTACTCTTGTATATTACATATTAATTTTATAGATTAAAAGCTTAGTGATGAAACAGAATAAATAAATGAAATAAAAAAACCTGGAATTGTATATATTCAGATACTTAGATAACAGTTTTGTTGACTGTTTATTTCTCAGTCTGTTTCTAATCAGATGAAAAACATTATGATAAAACATGAGACTTCTGTCTGAATCCAAGTCTCATACTGAGGAATAGGTTTATATTACCTTACAGAAATTTTGCTTCTTCCATAAATTCTTATGGGAGACAAAAGTATCTTTTTTTTTTTTTTTGCCCCCAAGTGCTTACAACAGTCTCTCATCCTAGAAAACTATTTCATTAAAGTCTCAAAGTGTTGAGAGCCTGTAGAACTTCTCCAGCTACTACTATTCCTATCAATCAGTGGTTTTAAACTATGAAAAAAAATGCTCCTACTTGAACTCATGACACAGGTACAAGTAACTGTGTGTATTGCTCATTCCCACAACTAGAAAAGGGAAAATCCAGACCTCTGAGGTGGCTGAGAAATTTGCTACCGGATTCTGTTGTTGAAGATTTCCCTCCAGCTTCTTTTTTAAGAGCACTCAAAGGTAACTCAGAGTTAGGTTGATGGTTGGACTAGATGATCTTAAAGGTCCCTTCCAACCTGGACAATTCTATGATTCTAATTGGAGACTGGACATGGGAACTGTCTCAGAGGGGTTAAGTTTTGCTGGCAAAGACCCTCCAGCAGCTCCTGTATAAGAATCATCCCACTGCTTTTGCTCCTCAAGTTCGTAACTTGTTATCTGCAGGATTGTAACTGGGTTGTTCATAGATAAGATTGACCAGATCAATCTGTTGGGCAGGCTTACAAAGGGGCATGGGGTGGGGCTGGCCTTTCCTCTTTGAATGTTGACTGCATGTAAGCACGTTTCTTGTTCGTGTGGCATCATCCTTGCCTTCTGCTTACAGACAGAGGCCCGTAGGCGAGCTGTGCTCCCTCAAAACCAGCTGACAACTCAAAATGTGGACTCTCTGAAAACCCTGCAGCCGAGCCTGTGTTTATTTAAGCTAGTCTAAAACTAAACTTAAACAAAACAAAATCTAGCTTACCAGGTAACCTAGTTTTAAGTAAGCTTATCCTAGTATGAAGCTGATGTGTAGGAAAGGTCAGTCTAAATCGTCAGTAGTTATAACACACTGTGATTTAACTTTGTTCTATGGGGGATGCACAATAAGGAAATCAGTTTCTTTTGAAAAGAGAATGGTCTTTAGCTAAAAATCTAATGTATTGATGGAGGAAGGAAGGCAGGACAAGAAGGCAAGAAAACAGGCTGAAAGAAGAATTCAGTGGCTTTAAATCCAGTTTCAGTGAGCTAAATCTTCAAGGTAGAATAAACCTTGCTATTGCAGGAAAGATGCAAGTGGCAATCTATCGAATACCGAAACCTGGTGCTTCGTGTACTCAAATGACACACACACACAGGCACCTTGCCCACAGCAATCACTAACAAGCACTTTCACAGCATGACTTAGAGCTTGATTAGCAGCTTCTGATTGCTGCAATCTCCCAGACTGCAGCAGGTATGCAGCTGGCAATTTGGTGGCACATGAGAATGGTTAGGGATGATTCACCAACACCCCATTACAAATAAGTGCAGAATTTAAAGCAGGAGGAGAGGCTTAAAATGGTAAGTGCTACAAGTGCAGCTTTTCAGCACACAGGCATCTCCAAATTGAAAATGAAAAGCTCGGTTTGTGATGTGGAATTGGGCAATCATTAATGGATGCTTCTTCAGCCATCCTGTAATAACACAAACACGTTGTTGCCCCTATCCTGCATGCAAGATGTAACTCTGTAAGAACAGATACAGGCCTGTATTTATTGAATATGTTTATATGTAATATTTCATGTTTAGAGTAAAAGCCAAATTTTTATATTCTGCAATGTATTGATTCATTTCATGAACCTGTTTTTATTAAAGGTGTCCATATTTCTCCTTGTATAGTTTTTGAGTCCCACGTGTGTCTACATCTTCTCCATAGAAGAAGACATTCCTTGTGTCGTTATTGTATAGTAGCAATAGGTTCTCTGACTTCTGACAATGAAGACATCCTACGTCTACCTTAACAAATGAAGAGCTGGGCTCACCTTCTATTGGATGACTGCTAGTTTCTGTAACTGTGAACCTAGTATGAAAGTCAAAGCATTTTTAACTTTTGGAGCTGATGTAAAAATTCTGGGCTATACAAATCAGCCGAAATTGGTTCAGACAGTCCTATATGCCACTTGTCATTACTTATTTCATTAGAAATTTGTACCTCCAAGGGCATTTCCATGGAGAGCTGCAAACACTAAAATCTGACTCATTTTCTAATATATCACATATGAAACCCCTCCATATTCAGAAGCATTTCACTCTATACCTTTGAAGGCCCAATTATTCTCTTTCTTTCACTGCTTTCGGCAACATGAAGTGTGCACTTGCTACAGAAATCTCTGAGCAACCTGTCTCAGGTTGTCTGTCAGGATGAACTAGACAAATCCCAGATTTTGCCTAATGTTGTAAGTCACAGCGAGTTGCACCACACCTAAATGCAGCCAGTCCCTCCTGTATTCACATCTCACAGCTATTGACAGTGGCCCAGGTCCCAGTGACAGTGGCCACAACTGGGACACGTCCCTCTCGTAGTCGCTATCTGGCGCTGGATTCCCCATGTAGCTAAGAACCTGCAAAATGTTACGGTGCTGCCAGGAGCTTCTGGATTTGGAAGGCAATGATTTCAGCCCTATTACATCCAAACACGGGTGTCGTTAAGCAAAAATTTTAGCAAGGATTTTCCTAAACTCACTGCACAGCATCAGGTTCCAAAGTTCACTTACTGAAATCTGAAATACTAACGGCCACTGTAAATTGTTCAGCAAACAAGGAAGTTATTTATCTCTACATCTTTCATATCTTATCCTTCGTATCTTTTAGGAGGATGGCTGCAATCCTGACCCATTCTAATCATTCTTGATAAGCTATTATACTTTGCAATATTGTTGGCTGAAGTAGTTTTTTAGTTCTACACTTATTCATGACTGAGTACCTAAAATGATTTTTGCTTTTTTAAGGTTTAATTTTTTTCTACAAATAACTTCTGTTAAGGAAAAAATACACGTAACTTTTTTTTTGTTCCAGGCACGCACTGAATCTAGGACTGATGCTATGTTCTCCTTCAAATGTCCACTTTAGTAACCCATAATGAATATTTAATAAAAGTAGTTTTAATATCCTCACAAAAAGTGAGGTTTAACAGCCTTTAAAAAGGACTTTTATGCAGATGTTATATATATTTATATATTAACCCTCACTTCAAAATGTATTAAAGAGAAAGCTTGTCAAAGACGTAAGATCCACGAGTGAAAAAATTGAGCTGTTAGACCCTAAGTTGAAAGGGTTCAGCAATAGAAAGAAAAAAAATTATACTCTTCAACAGGAAAGAAAAGAAGGCAAGCAAAATTACAAGATGGCTAAGTAGAAAAACTCAAGAAAACACTTAAGTTGTCTTGTAGAAATGGGGTATTCAACCACTTGTACAACAACTTTGCGAATTTAAACAGTACTTGGTCAAAGACAAAAAATTTTAAGAAGTTAACCATAACCACCTTTAATGTATGTATGGTATGGTATGTAGGGTATGGTAAACTACAGGGTAGATATGCAAAAAAGATGCAGTGAAGCAAAACTGTCTGTTAGTCTTTTTCTGAAAGGATGTTGGTGTGAGAGTTAATTTCTCCATATGATAGACTTGTAGGATCAGAAGGGAGAATGATACACAACTGGAAGGGACTTAAAAGTAAAGAGACTGAAATATTAATAAAAATATATTTCTCCTTGAAATTAGCTCCTGTGCCACGAAACAGCAGGAAACACAGGATTTATCATCATCTTAACCCACCAGCACCCGTCGTTCTGTGAAGAAGGCCTGACCATGAGGCTAAGGCTCTCTTGCAGCTCATACAGTCCCCGTGGTTGATGGGCACCGTGAATTGCAAATTCATGATAAAAGGGAGCACTGGGTCTCTGAAGACTGCAGAGCCTGCCCTCCAACTCAGCTGGCTGGGCTGCCAAACTGTCCTGTCCACCCCCCCACCTCCCTTAGAGGCTGGGCCTGTGACACAGGTATGTTCCCAGCAGTTTAGAGATGGCAGATCCAACAAAAATTCCTCTTTAGTGAGCTTCTCTCACGTGTGTCATCCTCCTGGGGTAACTATGTTGGTCTGCGTGTGAGGGGGGTGCAAAGAGGCAACAGCTGACCCTTTACTGGACAGCAGTTGCATCTTAACTTACGTAATTTTTCCTGTAATAATGTATGTCGAGAGAGATTGTCCCAGAGTAAACCATGATCCTGTATTATAAAACTTCAAAAGGCTTCAGTTTGGCGTTAATGGAAGTGACAAGCACTTGGAGAAGTCATTTAATCATCTAAGCAAAGTTACAAATAGATATGAGTAAATAGGGTGTGTGGGAGTAAAGATTTAAGCATGAATAATATTTACAGTAACTAAAGATAACATTACTAATGTACCCACAAATAGAAGTATATATTTATATATTTATATATTGTACTTAATTAGATGCTCTATTAACGGAAAGAAAAAACAGACTACTACTGTTGTTGTTCATTTCTCACCTATCCTATGGTAAATGCCTTCAAAGGGACCAATAGAAATCCAGAGCTAAATCTGTTTCAATGAAGTAACTGACAGTGGCAAACCTCTGAAGAAGTTTAGAAGAGGACAGATAAAAACGTAAGGACATTAGGGCATGGGATTCAATCTTATGTAATTCATAAACCGAAATTATACATCTGCTTCTTTTTATTTCCTTTCTTCTTTTTTTTTTTTCCCTTTTGATTTCTACTTGGACAGAGGTTCCACTAAACCACAAATGAGAAATAGCAAAATTTAGATTGTTTTGTTTTCTTCTAAAGATTCAAATATAAACTTCAAGTGCAATTCAAAATCCAAATATTATTTATACTACATACTTCTTTCTACAACAGAACTTATCCGCAGGTAGTTTAATCAGATTGGAATAGATTCCTTCTTTGCTTTGACAAAAGTTACTGTTGATGAAAAATAAAAAGCTAGAAAGAATATTTTCTACGTTATGTAATTTCAAATGGGAAGTGAAGATACACTAGTGCAGACACAAATCTGGATCTTCAACTAGATGCACTCAAGGATGCAGTTTTTTTTTTTTTGTAGTAAAAATCCCATTGAGAACATTGGCTTTTAAAGATTATAAAACATTATAGGTATTCTTCAATATACAATTGAAAACAAAGACTGCAAAAAGAGCCTTCAAATTAGCAAATGTTTCTACTATGGAGAAAAGACAATATTTGACAGGAATGCAAAGTAACCAAAAATTGAGTACCAGTAAACTATTTGTATGGTCGTAGAAATCTGGAAACTTTTGATCGCAGTAGCTTTATAAATGATCTGGGAAACATCTCCTTTGATTCTTGTGCTGTGTACTTGAAATAGTTTTGTGGGTGTGCCAGTACATCAAAGAGAGCTTTAATCAGTTTCTTGTCCTATGGGAGACAACACATATATTAGATAAAAATAGGGTTTGGATTTAGTGCCTGCACAGCTTTCAAAATTAATGAACCAGTTTGGTGGTTTTTTTGCAAAACTTGATTCCAGGTAAAGCCCTGTAAGGAAACTATTCCATGTTGCTGTGGAGTTTCATACTGATGAATCTTTCTACTGTAGTGGACATTTTTTTGCAATTAGCATTCCTGGAAGGTCGTGAACTGAGAGGGTAGCAGCTGAGTTAACCACAAACTGGCTGCAGAAGTTAGACATTAGAATTGCAAACTGCCTCTGACCGCCCTTCCAGCCCGTTTCATGCTGTTGTCTAGGGCCTTCCCTCCACAAACAAGAGAAGGCTGGTCTTCAGTGTTGCTTAGCTCTTTAAGGACCTTCTCCTGTACCTTGGTAAAGCCTTAATTCGGAGCCTCAATTGAGCCTGCGCATGACTGTATGTGCTGCAGCTGGGACCTGAGCAACTTCAGAGCTCTAGTAAGAGAACACTGTCTGGGCTGGGGCAGCCCTGGCCAGGGGAGCTGGCTGTTAATCAGTTCCTGTCCTTCCAAAATGTACATTTACAAGCCTGAATTTTGCCTTCTGAACGGCCTTTTTTCAGTTTTAATTAGTTAGTCATTATAGATGTCAGCGCAGCAGCCTTCCTCCAGAGTTCTCTCCAATGTGTTGCTTGTGCCTTTGGAAAACCATTTCATGAACAGCCTGCAACGCTACATTACGGTTGTGTCTTGTTGAGGCAGGACAGGGATTTAGGTAAGTACATTCTTTAATACACAGGAAATTCTAAATTAATGACTCAGTTAAACACATGCCAGACTGAGGCTAAAGAAGGCTCTTCAAACAATAGAGTCTTCATTCTTGGTTAACTAATTTTTCTAATATACGATCATGCTAGCGTGCATTTCACAGAGCTCCTGATTCAGCCAAGGACACGTGCACGTGCTCAGCCCAGCTGAGCTACTGATTTTGTGCTACTGCAAATACCAGCATAACCCTCAGAAGACAGAGAATTCAACAGGGGGTCACACTTGAGGTTTAAATATTATGACCCTATCACGGTAATGAGAACTATCTTAGGAAAACATTTAGTAAAAGGAATTCTTGGTTATCCTCAGATAAAGCACAATTTTCTTACCTTTAGAATCTCTTGATGATTTTCTGACGCATATAATCGTCCATCTCGAACAATGTCTTCTATTAGCTGTTGGTAATCCTCTGAAAAATAAAGATCAGTTGAGTGACTGTTTGTGGCATCCTTTGGGAGGTTAATAGCCAGACATTAAATAGACCTCCTCTTCAAGACAGACCTGAGAAATTTAGTATCTGGTTAATTGTTCCAGTGTCTCTCAAGGTGCTGTAAACTGATCTGAACACATTAAAATACTGCACAGCTTTAGAACAGTAATTGTTAATTATCCATACAAATACTAACTTAGCCCAGAAAACTACTCTCTCTAGATAATAATTCTGTATTATCTGCATTCTAGAGATCAAGAAGCAGGACCAGGGATATCAAATAACTGTCAAAGATTATACGTGAAGTCAGCAGCAAAGTCAGGAACAGACCCTTGTTTTCTGCCCTGAGAACAGCTCCCATTTTGATGCCTGAATGACCATCCTAATACAGATCTTCTCATCATTCACAAAATTGCATTGGTGTTTGGAACAGAGATGGGCTAACAGCTGCCAAAGGTATCACAGAAAAGTCTTTGTTTTGTCAAAACAGAAATCATCCCCAATTCCAAAATATGCAGTTTCATGCATAATTTATATGACAGGCCAGACTGTTTTAAAGTATGGATTTATGAAAGTGGTTACTGAGAGATTATTTCTTTTTGCATCTTTGTTTTTCTCCGTTGGACTTGTGACTTCATTAATTTATACTTTTCAAAATTGTGTGGGTTACCAGTAGAACTTGATGAAGAGGCAATGCACAGCAATTAATGATATTCTCATTATGCATATGATAAATGCCAATTAATCATAGAATCATAGAATCACAGAATGGTTAGGGTTGGAAGGGACCTCAAAGGTCATCGAGTTCCACCCCCCCTGCCATGGGCAGGGACACCTCCCACCAGACCAGGTTGCTCAAAGCCCCATCCAGCCTGGCCTTGAACACTTCCAGGGATGGGGCAGCCACAGCTTCTCTGGGCAACCTGTTCCAGTGTCTCACCACCCTCACAAGAAAGAATTTCTCCCTGATATCTAATCTGAATCTTTTTTCTTCCAATTTAAAACCGTTTCCCCTTAAAAGGAATGTCCTTGAATTCAGTGGGATAAGGATTAAGTTTAAAGAATTCTATGTAACCTCATGTCCACGTAAAATATTAGAAAAAAGTAGTAAAAGTAAACTTAGGTATTATTTCAAAGTCTTTGCGATGGGTTTTAAAGTAATTCACTGCAATTACATTGATGAGTTACATCAAGTTTTCCCTAATTCTTCTGTCTCTGTAATCGGTGTATGAGAGATTCTAAATGACAATTTTCTGTAATTCAGATATGACACAAAGATGGAAAACAATCCCATTCTCACCATCGTAAGTCACATAGGGGACCTGAAATCCTTTGCCACTGTTTCCTTCATTTGACTTGAACTGAATCCACAGCTTCCTCGATCTTGAGGTAAATGCAATAGGTCTCTCGTAAGTCTGACATGTTTCATATGTAGTAATTGAAGTAGGAGAAGCTAGAAAGGTTAAATAAACAAATGTTTTAAGAAACATTCTTTATAAAATAACTTTTGGCACCCTTCCCTGAGAACAGCTCCCATTTTGATGCCTGAATGACCATCCTAATACAGATCTTCTCATCATTCACAAAATTGCATTGGTGTTTGGAACAGAGATGGGCTAACAGCTGCCAAAGGTATCACAGAAAAGTCTTTGTTTTGTCAAAACAGAAATCATCCCCAATTCCAAAATATGCAGTTTCATGCATAATTTATATGACAGGCCAGACTGTTTTAAAGTATGGATTTATGAAAGTGGTTACTGAGAGATTATTTCTTTTTGCATCTTTGTTTTTCTCCGTTGGACTTGTGACTTCATTAATTTATACTTTTCAAAATTGTGTGGGTTACCAGTAGAACTTGATGAAGAGGCAATGCACAGCAATTAATGATATTCTCATTATGCATATGATAAATGCCAATGTGACTTCATTAATTTATACTTTTCAAAATTGTGTGGGTTACCAGTAGGACTTGATGAAGAGGCTTCCTAAAATGCACAGCAATTAATGATATTCTCATTACGCATATGATAAATGCCAATTAAAAGGAATCTCCTTGAATTCAGTGGGATAAAGATTAAGTTTAAAGAATTCTCTGTAACCTCGTGTCCACTCCTCCCACCAGACCAGGTTGCTCAAAGCCCCATCCAGCCTGGCCTTGAACACTTCCAGGGATGGGGCAGCCACAGCTTCTCTGGGCAACCTGTTCCAGTGTCTCACCACCCTCACAAGAAAGAATTTCTCCCTGATATCTAATCTGAATCTTTTTTCTTCCAATTTAAAACCGTTTCCCCTTAAAAGGAATGTCCTTGAATTCAGTGGGATAAGGATTAAGTTTAAAGAATTCTATGTAACCTCATGTCCACGTAAAATATTAGAAAAAAGTAGTAAAAGTAAACTTAGGTATTATTTCAAAGTCTTTGTGATGGGTTTTAAAGTAATTCACTGCAATTACATTGATGAGTTACATCAAGTTTTCCCTAATTCTTCTGTCTCTGTAATCGGTGTATGAGAGATTCTAAATGACAATTTTCTGTAATTCAGATATGACACAAAGATGGAAAACAATCCCATTCTCACCATCGTAAGTCACATAGGGGACCTGAAATCCTTTGCCACTGTTTCCTTCATTTGACTTGAACTGAATCCACAGCTTCCTCGATCTTGAGGTAAATGCAATAGGTCTCTCGTAAGTCTGACATGTTTCATATGTAGTAATTGAAGTAGGAGAAGCTAGAAAGGTTAAATAAACAAATGTTTTAAGAAACATTCTTTATAAAATAACTTTTTGCACCCTTCCTGATCTAGAGATCAGAAATGATGAACTGACAAGACAATTCCCAGCTGACAAATTTCTGAGAGCAGAAGATTGTGGTGAGAACCCCTCTGTCCCACAGCAAGAAGCATAAGCATACAGCGAGGTGTCAGGGGTAATTTTTAACATTTATAAAATTACTCTCAATATTACTTATTTTGTGTACTACTTCAGCATTGAATTCCAAGCTTCCCGTATGCTGGGGCCCGATAGGTAAGAAAAAGTCAGCTGCACCCCAAGGCAGGTGTGGTAACCAGCTCCTTACACGCCCAGTTTGGGGAGTTCATCTGAGAGCAATAAACCACTTTGGAGGATGTAATAGCCTGGTGTAGTCATTCTGACCAGAGCAGCATCACCCACTGAGGCAGCATTTAAAATGATACCATACATAATCTAAGTGCCTTTCTTACTGGGACCAGTACCTCCCAGTGCAAAACATCTGGCTGTATGTTTGAAAAGAAAATGTCATTAATCTATATTGGAACAAGGTTAATAGCTGGGAAACAGAAAGACCCCATTTGCCTGTAACATAAGTAACAGATGGAGGGTGCAGGATGTCTTCAAATCCTTATGAATGTATCATGAGGCTCCTGTAAGTTGAAATTAATTTCAAACAAAAGGAAAAAATAGCTTCTTACCTAGTTCAAAATAACCCCTCCATAGCCACAGGATAATTAGGGAAAATAAACCTAAAATCTGAAGTTGCTAGGGCTGATTCAGCTTTCACCAATGTTAGCAAAAAGGGACCTTTTGAATTGAATGGCATTTGGATTCTTCAAGTGCGAAAAAGTGGATCTAATTGTAACTCTGGAACATACAGTGATCACAAAACATGACTGAAAAACTCCCCTCATTTTCCAGTGTTGGTACTGGTACTGGTACTGGTACTGGTACTAAGGTCAAACTTTTCCCCAATGTGCCTGGCTTTACTCACTGTTGGAACCGCAGCTTGGGATTAGAATGACAACTGATTTGTTTTGCTACAGTAAGTGCTTTGCTTTTAAAAAACTGATCTGGACAAACTAATTTCCTTCTGTCTCTAGTGAGCAGGTTTCTTCTTGTACTAATCTGATATATAGAGATGTTAACACAAGCCCTCAAGGATAAAAAGTTGTGAAAATTGTTTTAGCAAATAAAATACACTGTTTTAGCAAGTAAAATACACTGTTTTAAGCAAACCTCCATATAAACAATTGCCTTTCAGGTCTGGTGCTCCTTGGAGATTTAGAACAGATCACCAGAATCTGGATGCCTACATAGGACTGAAGAAGGAATGCATCTCATTGGTGTCTTAACTTCAGAAGTTATTGAATTAACTTAAAAATCAAAGACACACTGCAAGCCCCACTCCACATAAAATTGGGGAAACTTTTGATTTCTTGGGGGTGTCAGGTGTACCAGCCTGTGCCACTGCACAGATTTAGCAACAACTGCAGCATCTATACACTTGCAAAGGGTAAGTGACAGCACAATCTGTACAGATGACAGGAGATAGCTCTCCTGATATAACATCACATAGCTTTGTTGACTTCTACAGTGGCAGTGATTTATCCCATGTGGTAATTGGGCCAGACATTAATTGCTTTATGATTCAGCCGAGACACTTGAATAATTAATATCACTCTGTTAATTGTTATAGGTACAGTGTTCTGTTTTAACTTGCTGTGCCAGTTCATTCAACAATCCTTTTAAAAACACCAGATAGATGAAGACAGTTGTCGCTTCAATATGAACTTTCCACTCAGTCAATTTGCAATAAATATTTATATAACCCATGTCTGGCAACTTACCACTTTTTCTCATTACTAAAACATCACCACATTCATCTTCAATTGGGAGAAATATCTCAGGTACTACGATGAGTATTCTCCTCTTTGGGGGTGGATTTATATTCCAAATGCATTCAACGTTAGCTGGGTAGTCTCCAGGATAGTTGGGCGATTCAATGTAACCAGTATAATCCCCAAGTTCTCCTCCACAGTGCTGATCTGTGGAGAAATATAAATTGGAATTTGTGTTAGCTGATTAGCTAATTCAAAGTGTTTTTCTAGATCTGTCAAGAGCAAGTCTGAACTCCTCCTTGTGGCTTTAGAAATGCACACACATTCTCCAGCTGCCTCTTTGTTTAGCACAGAAAGCCTCTAAAGGAATACTTGATCTGCAAGGCTGCTCCAACTGATTTGCAAAACCTTATTCTCTGCTGTATAAACTAATTCAATGGCTTCATTCAGGCTGCTTTAACATTTGATTAAGAAACGAACACAGGTAAGTAAACATGATCCCATTGTGGAGGTGTTCACACAGTGCTTGCCGTGCAGAAAGTGTTCTGGTTTAACTTCACTTGGGTTTTAACCTAATTCAGCTGAATGAGTGTAATGATCCTAACAGCCAACCTTACCTTGATTACAGAGCTGCCTTGCTTTAGCTTAGATTAAACCAGTTAATAAAGAATCTCCATTGATGGATCAGTTTTATTTTCAGAGTTTTCAAAACTCTACTGAATTTGGCACAGAAGCCTGATTCAGTAAGTAACTTACGCTTGATCTCTCCGGGCCTACTCACCCACATAAAACTAGATATATGTATAAATATTTTCCTTAATCCAAGCCTTCAAATTCCCTACAAATATCTAATCAGAAATGACAAAGGGCTTCAAAGACACATGGCACGTAATCAGAATAAAAACTTATGACAGACTTGCACATGAATAGTTAGTTTAGATGACATTACCTAATTATTATAGAGACTTTCTCTTAAGTTCACATGGTAGAGATGAAAAAATTGCTTGCTTAAAAGAATCAGTCATTCACAAAAGATCAAATAGAACTGCACTGGAATCCTTGGGGATATTCAAAATGCCAATTGATGACAGGAGGCAGAGTACTGCAAAAAACCCTATGATTTCATTGTCATAAGCAATAACCTGGCAATTGCAGTATGCATGACCATGTCTCCTAGTGTTTTATGATTATTATAAAATGGCAGTTATTCTGATAGAAGATACGTAGAAGAAGATACGTAGAAGAAGATACATAGAAGAATGGCAGTTACTCTGCTTGACAGAGACATAGAGGAATATGCATCACTGCCAGACAATTCACAGGGTCTGGGAAATCAGAAGCTCTGTAGTTTAACTTGTAGCTGGCGCTCTGCCAAATTACATTAAAGCCAAAACAATCATATGCATCAACTGGTACTTTTCTGGGTTTTTTTTCCTCATTGTTTTCCCCATTTTTAATATTCCTTCTGGCAGTAAATGTATGCTAACTAGGAAATACAGAACTGAAGTCCAGCCTGACAGATGGAACCTTCAAGTAGCGATTCAGATCCAAACAACTGGTACTTTTCTGGGTTTTTTTTCCTCATTGTTTTCCCCATTTTTAATATTCCTTCTGGCAGTAAATGTATGCTAACTAGGAAATACAGAACTGAAGTCCAGCCTGACAGATGGAACCTTCAAGTTGCGATTCAGATCCAAAGATATGCTTCATCTCACAACTAATAAAAAATGCAACTTACTTTTGCAGTGTGTAACATTAGTGGAGCCATCAAAATCCGTACTTGTGTTCCCAGGGCAGGTGATGCAGTAGTTTTGACCAAATTCAGGCTGGTATGTTCCCACAGGGCATCGGATACATCTGTGTGTTGTGGAGTTGTAGTAGTGTCCAGGAGAACAATGAACTGTAAGGTATGAGGTGTATTATTTTCAGAAAGTTGCAATCCCCAGTGCAGAGAGGACTTCCCTCTACCCTGGATGTGCCTCATGATCCCTGTTCTGCAATATATCTATTAGTCCATAAAAGGAACAAAAGGCACCATGTATTTCCTATTAAAAAGGACCTTCTAACTAGAATTATGTTCCAAAGACTAGAGCTAAACCCTTTCAAACTAGTAACACGTGCTACACGTCTCTCACCATACTTAATACAGTGGTTTCCAATGAGTTTGTAATTAATGGAAGCTGATACACATCTGCCTCAACAATAAAAATGTCTTTCACAATAGCATGAGAGATGTTTCCATTAGATGGTTTGTTTGCCAGGCCAGCGTGTCATTCCAGTAACTAAACCAAAATGCATTTGTTTCCATTAGAAGTTTACATGGGACACGCAACGTCACGTTTACAGTTTCTGCCTACCCCATTCATAATCAATTCTTAACTTCGTATAATTTCTGCAGCATTTACTTTTTCTAATTGCTAAAAATATACAGTATGTGAAGGCTAAAACATTGTCTAATGCAAGTTTGTCTTATTTCTTGCCATACAGTGGGGCTAATTCACTTACCAGTTGCGGCACTGACTCTGTACCTGCCTGTGCTAAATTCCAAAGTAAACCATAAACCCTGGTCAGTCTCTGCGACCTCGGGAGATCATTCCTATTTTACAGCTTTCCTGACCGTTTAATTTAATCACACACCCTGTTTCTACACGCAGTGACTACGTTTGTTTTGGAGCCTTTCAAAGCCCCTTGGCATTCAAGCTTACAAAGGAAAAGGCAAGCAGCAGGAATAGGAATTGTGGAAAGATTTGAAACTCACCTTTGGTTTCGCAGTCTTGAAAGGAAACAGCACCTTCGTACTTGGTGACAAGGCCACCGCCGCAGGGAAAGCAGAGGGTCCTTCCTGGTTCGGGCTGGTACGTACCGAGAGGACAGACTCTACACGGTTTAAAACCATCTGAAGAATAGTGCCCAGGAGAACACTGGCCTAGAAATCGAAAAGTATCTTCTGTATTAGTGAGCCAACTATTCTGGACAAAGTATAAAAACCTCTAGTAGTTAGCAATGCTTCTGTTAACTTAAACGCGTAACATCCAGACAGCTGCAGAGCAAATTCTAATCTTACCTGCTGATTTTGTATTGTTCCTGTAACTGCTTCCTAAAAACAATGCCAGTAAATACAACTAGTTTCTTAATATTCTCTTTGCTGCCTATGTTTCTGTTTGGGTTTTTTTTTTTTTTTTTGTTTGGTTTTGGGTTTTTTGTTTGTTTGTTTGTTTTTTAGGTAGGGCTCTATTAAGATGTTGTTTGAATATTTTGTACTTTCACCAATCTGAGAATTTCAAAGCACTTTGGAGGAAAAAATGAAACTTTGCACCGTATCTATGAAGCAAGTAATTCTTATTTTATTTACATCTCCATTTTACAGATATGGAAACAGCAGACCATGGGATTTACCAGACTGGGTGGGACCAGTCCAGCACCTTGTCTATGGAAATAGCTGACACCGACAGCTTTCCAGGTAGCTGTGAAAACTAGTGCTTGTCAGAAGCTCTTCTGCCAGAAAATGGTCATTTGTGTAAAGCCAAGCACTTTGTGAATGGGTCTACTGACAGATACAAGGGAGTTTCAAAACTTGCTCTCCAGGCAATTCCTGACAGGCGTTTGTTTGGCTTGCTTCTTGCTGGCTTAGAGTACTTCACTCCTTGACAACCTACCTAAGAATCGGGATGTCAAGTTTTTCAAGATTATGGCATTAATGCATACCTTCACACCACCCCAGCCTGGGAGACACCTAACCTAACACTTTGGGGTGTTAGGTGTTCCCTGAGGTTGCCTAATCCCAATACTTTGTAATTTAGCTTCCCTGAGAATGGAACAGCAGGCAGAAACAACTGGCCTGAAAACCTGAAAGTTCTGAGACCTCTAGGTGGGGCTGGGGTTTCTTAAGAACCCTAATACTTGCTGGCAAACGTTGGGGGCAACCAGTATCTTGGGTACCTGGCACTTTGAATGAACAAGAGCTCCTTTTTGACAAACGCCAAACCCCTAAGGACACCTGCGAGACCAGAATCTCCGGGATTTAGTTGCACTCCCATCCCAGCTGGCTGGAATATGACTGGACAAGCTGGCTGCAATGACACAGACCTTTGAGAAATATTATGACATTATTAATTTGAAGCCAATTCTGCTATTGTTTTTGTAGCAAAACTGATCCATCTGGTCTTGTCCAACTGGTCACTGGACTTTAATATGAAGGCGGTTAATGAAAAGTGGATTTGGATCTGGATTTTAGTGTGAAAATTAAGTACTTGTGAAGCGTGGTTTACAGACATCCTTCTAATGAAGCAGTACAGTTGGGTTTTAATACTGCTCAGTACCCAATGCTTTCAGGACTAACATGTCTCAGCCCTTACCTGTATATAAGAATAAGATAACTTGCTCCCTTCTTGTCTCCTGTATTGAAATTGTCCACAAAATTGATCTGAGGTGATTTCCCTGAGAAATTCCCCAAATGACTAGGTTTCCTAACTGTCTGTTGGCCTTGTACCTACATGGATTGCATGTAACCTAAGTGCCACAGCACTTTACTTGCAGCTAAAACACAGAGTTCTGCACAACAGCACTTAAAATCCCTTATGTACTTGTATGGGCCTTGCCTGCAGGGGTGAGGATTTCAGTCGTAGCTTATTGGATCCTACAGAGGCATTACTGCTTCAGAAGATAAGATGCAAAATTACTATTGATTACAGGTGGTGACTACATTTCTAACAAAGTCTGTATTCATTTAAATACACTGTTTCGTAACACACACTGACACATTTCATGGAGACATACTGATTTTGATAAAATCTTTGACAGGGAGGTTTATATGAAGTCCCAAGCATATTCTGTCTTGCCACTTTCAGAGAAAGAGAAAAAGGGAGAGTGGAGCAAAAAATCAAACTCTTGTGATCTGACAACAAAATTTTTGAAACAGAACCATTCTGCAAAAATAATCAGAAGGGTTTCTTCTTGTTGTTGTGCAGAACAGTAATTCAAAGGCAAGCCTTGAAATGAAATAGTCTTTTTCCTCTACTCGTTGTGCTGCTTTGGTCAGTGTATTAGATTCAACCTTTATAAACTCAGATTTTATTTTGATTATCTATTCTTGTTGGATTTTGGCTATATACATCAACGTAACAAAGATCCACATGCATTTCAAGAATGTTTCTATGATAGTTGCTTCAATAATCAGCAAAATCTACCATGTGTTTGGACTAGAGACATTACAGTGGATGGGGAAAAGTGGCAGTTTCTCAAGTGTCCTTCATTGTGTGTCCACTCTAGATATCCTTGAAGAAAACATCAATGTAAATTACACGGATGACTTTTAAAGTTACAACTCGTGTAGTGGATAGGACAGACTTTTTTCAAAGTCAAATAATTTTTCTGCTATAAACCAGGTTTTGCTCATGAAGGTAATAATGAACAGTTGGGTCTTAAAACCTTATCTTGATCAGTTATAGTAGAAGCATGAACAAACTGAACTTCACAGCTCTTTTCTGAAACCAGGTATTATCACCATTATAATCTAATTCATATATCATAAAATTGAGTCAGAGTTGCTACATCACTTGCCAAAAGCACAGTGAATTCAAGCAGCATTGAAGCTCATAGTCATTAGCTCTGAGTCCAGGTTACAGATTCCTGCAGCGTAACTATCTCAAAATTGGGATTGCTGCCGATTCGGCTGTGTAAACTGCATCTCATGCAAAACATGTTAAATCAGCAGGTTCATTAGACTCACCAGGACCAGTCCAAAGTAATCCATCCCTTTGGCTCACAATCTACCTGATGAGTCCTTACAAGTCGAGGTATGCCCAGATTCCATACCTGACTTGAAGCAAAGCGCTTTGCTTGGCTTGGGCGTTTCCATACCGTAACTCACATTGCCGCAGCAGGTCCCATCTTCTTGTTGGCAATGTCAGTGGATGGAACAAGCCAAAACCTTTTTTATGTATTGCTTGTAAGTGCACAGAGGTTTCTTCTGTTACCTTTACAAGACAGAAGTGTGGAAGGCTCTCCCCTCTTTTAACTCCGTGCCTCACAGGCTGTGTGACAACACCTAATCCTCTTATAATCAAATTGAACTTGCCTCCACATTCTGACACATTCCGGGCGCCCGCGACTCCCTGTCCATCGTTACTTGGGCAAGGCTCACAGGTAAGTTGACCTTCTGTGTCTTGATATGTTCCTGGCGAGCAAGGAACGCACTGATTATGTTCTCCGCTATAAAAGGTGCCCGTGCTGCAGGTAACTGAGAAAAGAAAAGGGGAATCTACATAAGGGCTTTCATTTTGATCACATCATTTGCCTTGATATCAAACATTTAGAGAAGATGGATCTCTTTGTCTCCAGCATTACAGTGGCATATGTTTTACATATGCTAGTTCAGGATCCTCACCTGATGTAAATATGCCCATCTCCACTGTGGTCTAGGTCAATTTACATCAGGTTGAGGTCCTTCTTCTATTGTTTAAGCCATTAAATGGTGGTGTACTGCACCGAAGCGTTTATCAGACATATGTTGTTAATAAAGCTGATGCAGTCTTAAAACAGTATGTTGCAGTTTAACTAAGACAGTTGTGCATAACATATGGGAAGTGATGTGAGTTTTTAGTTTACACCAGATTTTATGGAAGATGACTAAAAAAGTCTGTTGCCTGAGATCAGTTCTAGAGATTTCTCTGAGGACAATGCATCACATGTAACATTTTATGTTTGTTGACACTCGAATACCTCAACTGGAAAGTTTTTAAAATATAGATGTGAATCCACATGCTTTTCTTGCTGCAACAAAGCACACGACTGCATTAAACGTTTTTCTCTGCTGGGTATAGGTAGTTAAAATGTATGGGTTTCTAGACTTAATAGCAAGTCTTTCAATACAGTTTCTAAATCACCTTTTCTATGTGATGAAAACAGCCTCTGTACCAACTCATTAGAGGCACCTATTAGGTCTGCACTTAACTATTCCTTTTTGCTGGTAAATCACTTGGTGTCTAAAAGAAGCTGGAAAAACAGATATGCTGGTTTTGAAAAGATGACTCTAAGTGATTAGCAAGCTTGCAGTGATGAGAACTGCCCTTAGGAGGCCTGTGCTAGCACCTTGCCCTCAGGGAAGAACTAGAGCCTGATAACCTCAGAAAAGAAATAAGGGATTTTACACAAAGTTAAAATAGATTTCCATAGATTTTTTCATTGGGTCTCTTGAGTGTATAATAAATATATCCATGGGTCATGGATTATTTGGTGGTGAGAAGAGTGAAAGAGGAGATACAAAACTAAACACACAGCATCTAGGCAAACACCATGTTATTGTTTTACAGAATTGTAAATATGTTTTCACAAGATGCTGGGAGCCACTGGGAATTAATTCCCAACATTGCCTTGTGGCAGGCCTTGCTATATACCAGTGACAGCACGGGAATGTATGCATATATATGCTTCTTTTGTTTTCCTTCAATCGTTTAATGAACCCCTTCAAAGTCTTACGAACCGTCAGCGGTCCGTGCACATATGCTCAGTAATATTGGTCTGTTATCTCAGAGATTTCCTGCCTGGATCACAAGGGACAACTTAATTTTGGGTTAGCTGTTTTGAGGGATGTGGGTGACTAGAGCTGGTGGGACTTACCGCATTTTCCATCCTGCAGCACTTGCCCCGTACTGCAAGCTTCATGCCCTTCAGTAGCTTTAGCTGGCTTCTGAGCCACTTCATATTCTGTCCCAGAAAACTGAATGTAAAATTGCTGTTTATTAATAGATTTCCTCAATGTTTTGATTGCAGTTTGCAGCTTCTGCTCCATCCTTTTCCGAACACAGTCCATGTTACAGGTGTCTAGATGGGAAATGATAAGAAAACTAGAAGCAATTGAGATTCATGTTTAAAAAGAGGTGCTTAACAAAAACCTTAGCCTGCACCACACTGTAACACCTGTTTGCTTCACTGTCTTCTCCTAATTGGAATTCACTCTCTTCTCCTTCTTCTAATTGTAGATGCAGCTCACTGTATTCAAAATCAGGCTGTTTAAAGGGATAAGATATTACACTGAGGTCCATCAAACCAGGTTTCATGGTGTGCAAGTGCACGCTGAGTACTGATATCTCTCTCTAGCATTAAGAAATCTGGTTATACTGAGTGCACAGCGTTGGGCTTCTAGATGTGTATTCAGTCTGCCACCACGAATGTTTCTGAAATTTCTCTGCCCACGCTTTACTCAGTTGATTAGGAGGTCTTCTCACTTTTCTGACCAAAATACCTGAATGACACAAAGAAAGGTTCTTTCTGGCACGATTAGTGTTTGAATCACTTGGCTGGGGAGGTACCCCTCAGGGTTAAGAAACCTGCCTTTGAGGACTGATGTGTTTATAGAATTCAGCCCACATTTCCTTTGGCTGGATTTTATAGCATAATATCCCAACTCATGAATAACTTGAAGCAATTCTTTTTCTTCCTGAAGTTTGCTAAGAAAACATGAATTTTCCAAATGTATGATAAAACTGTTTGATTCTCAGACTGAAGTTTCAGCAACTTACATTTTGGAGAATGTTTTATCGTGATTGTTGCAAAACTTCTACCTAATCCTTATGTTCTCTGTGCATCAATTAGCACTCTTGCTGTTTAAAGAAATTAGACTAAATTAAAGTACATGACTTAACTCGAGACTTTGAAGGAATTTTGCTGCAGGTTCAACCTTTGTTCCTTTGGCTTAATTTCCTACCTGATTCCTTTCAGTTAAGTCTCAGAAACTTTAAGACTGGAAAGGCTGTTGAACAAGGCTTGTACTAAAAGGTCTGCAAGGCAGCTTGATGAAGTAGCATCAAAGAGATTCTAACAACACACCGAGGAACTGGATTCTGATTTCTCTCCAGAGACAGACAGGTCTTTCACAAACCTGAGACTTCTTCTGACTTCATCTCCACCTCAAACTCTGCGGTGATATGGGACACTTCTTTCGATGGTGACTTGCGGCCTCGGCGTTTTTTCTTGGAGGAATCGCACTTGAGATTCACAAAGGTCACCTGGCAGTTGTCTGTACAAGGGAATTGACCTCCTTTGCATAAGAAAAGCAACATAGAAAAGAAATCAAGTAGCAAAGAGGCAAGCGACAGGAGAATAAGTGATATCTCAGTTGGGTTATGGCTTTATCTGAGGGGAAATCAGAATAATTTTGGTTGGAAAAGACCCTTAAGATCATTGACTCCAACTGTTAACTAACACTGCCGATTCCACCACTAAACCGTGTCCCTAAGCACCACGTCTACATATCTTTTAAATACCTCCAGGGATGGTGACTCAACCATTTCCCTGGGCAGCCTTGTTCCAATGCTTGAAAACCCTTTAGGTGAAGAATCTTTTCCTAATATCTAATCTAAAGCTCCCCTGGAGCAACTTGAGGCCATTTCCACTCATCCTATCCCAAGCTAGAGGAACTGAATGCCCTCGTCAATTATGTGTAACTTCTGAGAAGAAAGGCCACAATCTGTTGGGACACAGTCCCATACGCATCCTCTTCCTCTATAAAGAAAACCGTGTGAAAACCATCCTTTTTGTGATGGGTGATGTAACTTCCAGGTCAGGGAGAAGTTTCTAGCACTCACGCCACCAGAAGGATTTCATTCCAAGCGTGTGACTGTATGATACATTCTTACTGATAGACCCAGAAGTTCAGATGACATAACAAACACAAAGCAAAGCAAGCAAAGGACAAAGAAACGGATCCAAGAAATACATTCCCATGATGACTGTACAGACCAAAACCACCAACTTCCATGACTTTAAAAATGAGTCTGATAATCACATCTCATTAAAAGAATACAATACATAAGGACACGGGGAGCATCTTGACGACCGAGACTTGTTTTAAGCCAATACTTGGAAAATTAGAGAAAATAAATGCCTAGATTGCAGTGTAAGGATAAAATGTGACTCTAAATCTTTAAACCATTAGCATTTTTAAAGGATAGCTATTTTTACTCTTCTGTGTTCAGGGCTCATATATGATTCCACACTCACTAGCAATAGTGGTGGTAAGACAGATTCACAACAGAGAAGGTGTCACCAGTAGACTTCTGCTGTAAGCTGCTAAGTTGCTCTAAGCAACGATAGAAGCTGTTGCAATTGCACCCATTCTGTGTATTAAAATCTGGAAAATTTTGAGTTAATATTAAATTTAAATTAACTTCAAATATTTTAAGCTGTGGAAATGCACTGCAATAACACCCAAACACTCTTTAATTGTCCCTGTCATGATATCAAGAGGACAGAGAACAAGAAATAAATGCCATAAAGATCTGTTAAATATATATCACTTTTAAAGTCATTTTTGTTTTTAATTTTACAAGTGAGGTCCAAAACTACTACTAATAAAAACCCATACTTAGTCATACAGAGTTTTAAAAACATTTGACTACTTTGAATCAGCCTGACACAACCTTTTTTTAAATTTCAGATTTTTGTCTAAATCCTCTAAATATTTTTTCTAACATCATAACTGCTCACTCCAACATAACAAAAGATCTAAGGTTGTGTAACATCAGATTTTGATTATAGCTTTCCCACTTAGGGCTGTCTTTGCTGCTGCAATGGGATACTAATCCAGCGTAAAGCAAATGAATAGCTTTTATTTTCTTTTATAAACCTCATTTGGGAAAACTAAACCAAATCAAACCAAACTTCCATTGTTCCATGTAACTTTGAATTGGTCATAGCTTTTTGTCTCAGGACATTTCTGCCATTACCAATGCCAGAAAAAGGATCAGCTTAATTCCCAACCCATGCATTTTTGAACAAAGATTTTTCCAAGCAGCTGGTGACATTTCAGCACTGTCAGATCCAAACTGGAGGCGCTGTTCAGCTGCAGCGTGAACCTTGGCCTGAACTTAAATTCAGATCCAAATATGAAAACCATTATTTTTTTTCTGCCTGCAGTGTGAAAACAAAATATGCAAACAAGCAAGCAAACAAACAAAAAAATAGAATGCTGTTTACATGTTAGAAGAAACCACATACCTAAAACAGCTTGCTTCCCAGAATCTTTTGTTTTTTCTTTGCTGCGAGGCCGTAAATGGCACTTTGCATCTTTAATTTTAAAACGAGCTTTCTGCTTGATTGGAGGGGCTAACGAATCTGTTGACGTAAAGTAAAAAAGCCATCATTTGGGATGCAGATGAAATGAAGTCTGGAACTTCTTTTTAAAAACACACTCAACAGGCTTCTTGCAACAAAGAAAAGAGACGGCGCAAGAGTTATGCACCTTGTGCAAGAGGATCCATTTCCACAAGTTCATTTTTTCACATAAGTACTTACTCTTCAGCTCATAAAGATTGATGAATTTGCTACTATCACAGATGTTCTGCTTCCCCTCCAGCAGGCCTGCACATCTTGGTGGAATTTGGGCGAATTTGTCTCTTACTATGAAAAAGGTTAATTCCTACCTTTTTTTTTCTGACTCTGTCTGTGACTTCCCATGTTTCTTGGCCGTTGTTCTGCTCTTGCTAATGCCAACCAGGAATAAGATTAATTTACTGGAGCTATGCTGTTGGCAGTTGAAAACAATCCAAAGGAAATATCTTTATTTGACAGCTGTCTATGGCTCGCAAGCTTTATTCTTCAGCTTTAAATCCAAGCCAGTTACATCTTGTGACTTTAAAGGCTGTTCTACAGCCATGCACTGCTTAGAAAATGTAGCAGCTGACTGACTTCCTCACAAAGTCCATGGTGGAAAAGGCTGGGCTGGGACCTGGAGCAGGTGGAGGGTGGTCACAGGTAAGTGCTGCAATGTGGGTCCCTCTTTCCTTGGAAAAGCCTTGCTTTTTTTCCAAGGAAAAGCCTTGCTGAACCAGGACTACAGAGGTAGCCTGCCCCTGTGCCACGGCAGCCACATCTGCTGCCGTGTTACCTTGCTCCACAGCACTGTGCCTCCTAACACATGCCAAATATGTAAGAAATAAGTGGTTAGAGAACTGGCAAATTGTAGAGAAGTAAGGCAGGTAATGATACATAAAGTGGGCTGAAACTCCCCGCTGCTGGATGCTGTTTCAGCTGCTTCTAATTTTGCCAGACTTCAACAATTTTGAGCTGAACTCTTTTTTTTTTTATGCTTATATCAGCTTTAAGACATATTTTTAAATGTCTCTGCAAAAATAATACAGCTATTTCTGAGAACAAGATGAATGAAACGCAGTATGTGCTCATAAAACTCTCATAACTTTTTTATTGGGAATCCCCAGTAGGAGGATCCGTGCTCCTAAGGAAGGACTTTGCAAGTGAGGGCTGGAACCCACTGTAGCCTTCTGCTCTTGTGCTACTGTTGGGCAACTCTGTCTAACTTCCAAATCTGGGAAGAAATTTGCCTTGCTGGACTATGTAAAGTACAGTGTGCTAAATATTTGTCCTTATTGAATATATCTCAAACCTCCACCACTCCTATACTGACCTACCAACACAATGCCACACCGGAGGGCAACGAAGCGCAGGCCAGCCCTCCAGGAGAGGCTGCAGAACAGCAGTTGTGTGTGTGATGAAACACAAGGTACCTTAATTCTGGCCTTGTGTAACTTGAGAGCTGTATGTCTTGCGACTCCTGAATGATCTGGGTGAACTCCATCACCTACCTCCTAGAGACCAAGGCCTGGGGGAGCAGGAGAGCACCTACCTGCACAGCTGGGCAAGGTGGCATTGCGTTTCTGCTGGGCCTTGCCTTGCTGGACGGGGACACCACAGCTCAGCGTGTAGCTGTTCTCCGAATCTGTGGGGCAGAACACAGAGTCAGCACATGTGGCAACAGTCTTACAAAGAACCTGCTCCCCTCCTCACCCCAAGCATTAACGTTCGGCGCTTGAACAAATTTATTCATAATGCTAAATAAGGAGCCATTTCAAGCACTGAACTTGGATTTTCAATGGCTGGAATAGTTTGCCAAAGTCTACTGCTCCACAGTGTCAGCTACAAATTTTGTTCCTTCCACCACTGAAATATTATGTTTTATAAACAATTTGGCATGAGGTGAGCTGTAAATAATTCCGTGGTGCACAAGTAGAAAATGGTTGTCCATGGCAGAGCCCTTGTGCTTTGATCACATCTATAATTTTAAAAATAAACAAAGTACTTTCCTAATAATTTTAGCTTCACACTCTAGCAGAATTTATTGGCAGGAACAAAAAATAACATACTTAGAACTGTAACAGAGTTTACATATTGCAGATAAAACTGTAATGGTGCATACAAATTAGGTAAATGCATGGTTCTAGCAATCTCTGCTAAACTGAAAATAAAGTGTGAACAGCTCGACTGCACGGAATGCCAGGACTAAGATGAAAAGTAGATGCCCCTGTGGGAAACAATCCTGTGCCAGAACCAGATCGTATATGAGAAAGCAATAGCAATCCCCAAACTCCCCCTGCCCCGCAAAACTGTGTAATGAAAATCACCTGTAGCAAATGATAAAAACAAGGCAGGTTGGTGGGCGGGGTGGGGGGGGAGGAGGGAAAGATGAAGTGCCTGAGTTTCTATAAATAACACGCAGCTGAACTACTACCAGCAAAATTTATTAAAACCCAGAAACTGCGTGAACTAATACTGAAAAGATCCTTTTTTGCCACACAGCCTCTTGAGACCTCCATTTCACATGAGACAGCAAGACAGGTTCAAAACGGTTCCCAGGTCATCCTTTGCTCCACAGTGCTCCTGGCTGAGCTGGTGGAAGTTTGATGGCTGCCCTGGCTGGTGGGGGAGCTTCATCATGGGCTGTGGCAGCCACAGCATTAAATGTCCCAGCGTGTCCCACCCGTCCTCTCCTGCCACTGCTGTGCTTGCCCAGCTGAGTTCCTCTCAGGGGACCCTCTGCTTTGGGATTCATTTCTGCTCCTGCTCAATCACACAGTTACAGGGTATTTCAGATCATGATGTCATTTCAGTTCATCATTTTAAGCAGATGTCTGGGTGGGCACTGGGGACTCCGCTCAAGTTGAAAAACATCGCACTAAAAATTAGCAGGAATTCACTGAAATCAACTGTTCATTTTTTCCCTCACGTTTGACATAGCAACTCAATACATTACAATTCTTCTTTTGCACCATCCTGGTTAAGGTGCATGTCTCTCTCAGGTTTTTGTTAGAATGTCTCCAACCCCACAAACAGCACCTCAAATTAAATAACGAAGAGCAAAACCTCTAGTGTAACTGGCAGTCAGTTCTTCTTGTATTTAATGATGCGCTTGTCTGACCCAATTTCATTTATAATAATGATTTTGCTCATTTACAGTTGTCCATAACAAAAACTGAATGCAAGAATCATGAATACATTAGTAGAGAAAAATAAAGTCATGTTCTAGACTTAGGAGAACAAGTGCTTTGTACAAACCTGGAACAAAAAGGGTGTTGGATGGGCATGACAGGAAGCAGCTCTCTATGCCTCCTGTCTTGCTACACACCAGCTGAGCCTTGGGAGAAGGTTTGGAATTCGGGAGACATTTCACCATCTCTGAGGAGAAGAAGAAAAAGAGATATGAAAAAAAATCAGACACTGCCCAACCCAGAACCCTTGTGCACCCCCTTGAGTACAGTGGTGAGGAAAGGTAGAAGTGGCAACAAAGCAAAATCATGGGCTCAGATGTTTCTGAAAAAAGCACATATTAGGGAGAAAGTATCTGGATCTGGAGCTTGGACTTGAAAATGAAACTCCTTCACATTTTTAAACCTAGACTGTAGATCAGCCTTTCCCTCCTGTCCTTCACTTTGGGACTGTTCAGGTCGAAATCTGCACTCTGAAAGCCAGGTGTCTCTCTAAATTGTGAGCACAATTCTTTGTGTACATCTTGATCTCAGAAGCAACAAGTAATACTAAGGACCTGAGATGTCCTCTCCCCCCTTTTGGAGTCACAGCTCTCTGGCTTAACAGGCCGACTACCACACCGTGCACTGGAGTCACCCTGTGTTTATTTAGATGACCGCTAAAATGGTATTTTCCACTTCTCACTCCAACTCTTGCAGACTTTTTAATTTCAGCTCCATGTTCAAGCTTCTGGAAGTAGAAAACTTCCCAGCCAGGCAGGGAAGAGGCAGGACATGCTGGGATAGAGATGGATAGTCCCACTGGTCCTTTCAGCTGCCAACGAAACGCCCCGAGCAATGCTAGAACGGACACCTTGACGCACAAATAGACATCAGCTATTTCTCATCAGCGCCCACCACACAAGGCACATTGTGGAAGGAGGAAACATCCAGGTTCTCCTCTTAGCTTCATGGCAGGATGAAGACAAAGCACTTGCAGGTCTCACAAGATGCTCTTTGTATTTGGGTAAGGGATGGTTTGTGTTTTACCTGAAACTACATGCAGTTGTTATGAATTGCTGGACCAGTCTCTGTGCTTCACCCCGAGGTGATGGTATACCACTGGTAATTACATCCCTGCATTTATTTTAATTTGACATCTTTTGGGACTGAAGTGTTACTTAACTACATCCTTCTCCACACAGATAACGAGGTTCCTTCTCTGCTGCAGCCAAGAGGTGCCATCACTACCTGCACTGAGGCAGCCTCACCAGAGATTTGACCCCTGCACTGACTGCTGGCCAAGTGCACCTGGGCACTTTTTAAAGCAGATATTTCACATTTCATCAGCTGGTAAAATCTCAGTCAGGTGTCTGTAGAGTAGCTCTTGCTTCAGCCCTGTAAAAAAGCCTCTTCAGGTACATCCGCTGTTTCTCTGACTGTTCCTCGCTCTTTCTTCCACCACGTGCTCTCACAAGACTTGGCTGACTCTCGTTTTGCTCGTGGCTGACTCTGCTACTGCAAATGTCATTTTTCCTACCCCTCAGTTCACCACTTAGTTTGAGGAGGGATCAGAGCTGCAGCATCTGAGTCCATCAGGAAGCAGCCAGACTGGTTTGGGTCTGCCGGGGTTTGGGAAGAGCCCAGTAGAATTAGGATGAAACAGGGCAATTCAAATGTTGTAGCTGGAATGAACCTTGCCTGGCTTGGCTTGAATGCAGAGGAAGGGTCCCAGGAGCTACCAGCTGGTTTGTGTTCCTGGCCTCACTGCTGGTTAAATATAAATATATATGAGTCCCTTAAACACACCTGATGTTCACATCTCAAATACGGGAATAATCATCCTCCACTTACCTCCCTCCTAAGGCCTTTTATGTCGCTTTGGTGATGTTTTTAAAGAATTTATTTCTTTGGACTGAGGAGACAACATGAGCGCAAAGCGTCATTGCTGAGCCAAAGAGGATTTTGTTACTGCAAATGTCTCCAAATCATGTGGCATTCAGGATCATTAGGTATCATTCTCTTCCTTTTTATTGTGCTCTTATAACAATGTAGAATGCAGTTTCCTCTAAACAATGTTGGTAATAAAGGCAGGCGATCAGCAGGGAGATGACACCCATTTTAAGCCTCATTAAATTCATCAAATAAAACAGTGTATATCAATAGAGAAGGATGTTCTATTTTCCATCTTCCAACTGAGTATTACAAATAATGAAGAGAAATTTACAACTATGAAAATATTTTCAATACAGCCTCTTACTATGGGAACAGCACTCTTAGTACAAAACTTCTGTGGTCTAACTATATACCAGACTTCAAAAAATTTTAGTCCCTGCTGTTAATTTACAAACTCCTTTCCAGAGGAGTAACTGCTAAGTTACAAGGCAGACCTAGTGGATAACTAAAAAAACCCAGAGTTAACCATTTCTTACTTCTGTAGTACTCAGTTCTCTAGACAGCAGTGAAGGTAATATATGTAAAGGTAAGTGGGAAAAATTAGGCAGTTAATTGTAGTTAGGAAGAAAACCAGTGGGAAAGGCTGCAATCCAACTTTAAATACTCATCCCCTGCCCTGCCCAACTTTGGTTATAAAGGGCTTTCTGTACTGTATCCGTACTGTTTTCCATATCCGTGTCAGTGAAAAAATGCCACAGTTGCATGGTCATGGTCATGCGAGAGGCCAGTGTGGTGCTCTCTGCTTCAGACTGTAGTGCTTTCCCTCATACCTGCAGAGGTTCCCTGAAGTAAGGTCCCCCCATTTCTTGTTCTGTCTTGCTCCCAGATAGGTATTAAGCACAGGCCCCAAATGTACTTATGAGAAATTATTTGTGGTTAAAAAACCAACCCCAAACACAAACAAAACCCCCACAACCCAAATTTGACTATGAAAGACCCAGGTACGCCATTCCCTTTAAAAACATTAAACCAGAATTAAAATCTTATGGAATGGCAACAGCTATGGCTAAGATTTCCTGTGCTTCAAATGAGACCCCAGAGAAAAACAAACAAACAAACATAAAGTCATCTACTAAAAGGATACAAAAATTCAGATCTGCCACAAATTAGAATCATAGAATAGAATCATAGAATGGTTCGGGTTGGAAGGGACCTTAAAGATCATGGAGTTCCAACCCCCCTGCCCTGGGCAGGGACACCTCTCACCAGCCCAGGTTGCTCCAAGCCCCATCCAGCCTGGCCTTGAACACTTCCAGGGATGGGGCAGCCACAGCTTCTCTGGGCAACCTGTTTCAGTGCCTCACCACCCTCAGAGTAAAAAATTTCTTCCCGAGATCTAATCTGAATCTTTTTTCTTCCAATTTAAAACCGTTTCCCCTTGTCCTATCATTACATCTCCTGGCAAAGAGTCCCTCCCCAGCTCTTCTATAGGCACCGTTGAGGTATTGAAAGGCCACTATAAGGTCTCCCTGGAGCCTTCTCTTCTCCCGGCATACCAATCCCAGCTCCCTCAGCCTGTCCTCATAGGAGAGGTGCTCCACCCCTCTGATCATCTTCGTGGCCCTCCGCTGCCCCTGTTCCAGCCAGTCCATGTCCTTTCTAGGTGGCACTAGCAGCATGAGTGTTGTAATTTTAGTGGTGTCAGGACTTGTGCTCCTTGCAATTAATACTTCTGACACAGCACTTTATGTTAAGCAGGATACCTTTGGAAATAACTTGAAAAACTGGGGTACGGTGCTGTGAATTTAGATAATAACCTGAATACCTAGATTACCCTTAGAGGAAAATAGAATTATAGCTGCGGTCACAGAGATGGACAAAGGACAAATAAAGGACAGAACAATAGAATATATAAAACAATAAGACAACATAGATTTGTGTGAATGGAATCGTAAAAAAAAAAAAAAAAAGTTCAACCCAAATAAAATCCAACATATTGCCCATTCTCTAATCCACCTGCCGTTATGTTCTCGCCCGTGGACACCCATAGGCTCAGGTGTTATCTGAGTTTGTAAAATGATTTTGGAGATCCGTATTGTGAAAATGCAGCATCCCTCAGACAAAACCACGGGCTTTTCCACCCTCCTGGAGAACAGGAGCATCACCACAGTCACCTCCGAGTCAGTCTCCCACACTTACCAACGCAGTCCTTTTTATTCCAGTGCAGTTTCTTTCCAGGTGGACAAACACACTCATAGCTCCCCATTGTATTAAGACACCCATAGTCGCAGCTACCATTGCTGATGCTGCATTCATCAATATCTGAAATGTAATTAAAGTTGAGAAGAGTATTAACCATAGGTACACATGTATACCGTGTGTTAAGATACTATGTGCATAAAGATACCTGCTTCTACTATATCTTTTATATTTAAATCTATATAAGCATGTATTAATGCAGTCAATGTTCACATCAAACAATTTTAGTTCATATTGAATGTATCTGTCCTTACACACGTGTATAGCTCCTACTCTCTCAAGAATTTATGCACACGATAGAATTTACTCACCAGGACTAGTTACACTGAAATTCTTGAAAGTACCCACAAGATATGAAACATGCTCAAAAGTCTCTGCAGCATCTGGACAATAATGTATATTGCATTATATGGAAAAATGTCAAAGGCATAAACATCTGTGAGATTAGATCACTTCTGCATAACAGGGAAATAAATTCTCCATAGTGATTCCCAGAGTTTGCTTTAGAAATTCTTCAGATGAAGGAGGAAACTATATATTTCATAGGAACCTAGCAGTTGAAATGTAGTTTACTTGGTCTTCTGATCCTCAAATATAAACGAAAGATAAAAAGCTTGCAAGAAGACAAAGCAATTATGTGATGTTCCACATAAAGTCTTTCAACTTGAGATACATTAGAAAACTATTTGGTCAATATTAGGTATAACCTTTTTAGTCTATCCAGTCAGCATTTATACACCTGTGCCAATATGGCCCGTCTCTATTCTCCTCTCCTCCCACCACCAGAACGGGTGTTTATCCATCACACTCAACAGCAGTTGTGCTGCCCTGTACTCACCCCTGGATCACGCTCGGACACGTTTAGGACACGAGATGGCACAGGCCAAAATTGTCAGATGGCAGCAGTGAACCATCAGTTGTACGTTGCTGCTCCAGACCCTTTAACTTACTGGTACAGCCACGACCTAAAAGCCCTTGTTATGAACGACAACCCTGTTATTTTAGGCACTGCACTAACCTCAACAACAAGTGGTTTCTGCCTTCTGAACGCAGCTAAAATGGTGGTGTTGCTGTAATAGACTTTCACAAGGGACGCAGGTTGAGCCGTTTGACAGATGTTCAAATGAGCCAGAATGACACCAAATCATCATGAGAAATGCTGAATTGCTAATACTCTGGCTTAATGATAGGCCTCAAAACATAACTGTAGGAAGAAAATTGCCACTTAATGTGTTTCTAAGTAAGGTCTGGCCATAAAGGCCCACAGATTGTCCAACTGCCCTTCCAACCCAAGCCTGAGTCCAGGCGTCAGGCGCCTTTCTAGACATCATTATGACTTTTGGGTCAGGCTCAGGACTTCTGGAGGCCCTGGGTCAGCAGTTCCAAAAACTTACACGGGAGATAGTCCCAGAAAAGAACTTTTTCTGGGAAATTTTGTACATAATGGTCAGGCTTATGCTGAGTGGGATCTTCTTGTGAAGCCATCCTTTGAAACACGTCGTGCGCAGTGCTCCTGCCAGTGAGCTCTGGCTGAACTGTTCAAACCCGAGCTCTTGCTGTCAAGTACCTCAGCCCAGAACCAAGCTCCTGAAGCAGCAGCCAAATTCCCAAAGGCATTGAACAGTCCTTCAGATTCTGCTGACTTTCCCAAGCCAATCCTATACAGGATTTCCCTATACAGCAAATAGGGCTTTACATAAACAGGTGGTGTAAGTGCTAGCACTGTCCTTCTAAAAGATTCCCTTGCTACACACGACTTTTATTACAAGAGATGTCATGAAAAGGATCCCAGAGAGAGCAACAAGGGTTGCCCCTCAGCACAGAAGGCCCAAAACAAGGACATTGCCAGGTAGTTTATTAATTATTAGTAGATGGGAAGCGAGATTGAGAGAAATCTTACCAAGAGGCAAGCTTGCACCAAATCATTTTGAAGGTTCTAGTTATTTCTCTCCAGTTTTGACTTCTGCTCAGTGCCACATGGAAGGCAGACAGGGTAATAAGTTATTTGTTCCACTGTAAACACCACTCTCCAGGGCTGAGTAAAACTAATGATAGGCCTGAGCAGCAAAGCTCAGAGCCTGTACAAGTCTGGATTCAGAGCTCGGATTTGGGATCTGCCCATTATGGGAAAAATAGCAGGAGGTTTGGATCTGGTTATGTTTTTGCCCGCAGTTCAGCACGGAGTATTTCCAGTTAGAGTTTTTGTCCTACTCCAGTCTTATTTAAAAGACCGAAGCTGAACTGAGGCAGAAGATTATTTAAAGACTGAGGCTGAACCCCAGATTTTGAGGCTTTCCCTAAAAGAATACATACATTAAGTCTTTAAGGAATCAACACTGAAACTGAGTATCAGTCTCTCCACACCCCATATAGCATAGGTGCTAAAAACTTTCAGACTCTGACTTTGTTTTCAGAACTGCCCTCAGGTGGAGGCTTTTTCCAAGCTTGATGGACTCCTATTTCTCCACCTGCCTGCCTCTACTATACAGTGAATTCATTTGTTACTCACCCTGCTCTATAAAATACACACTAACACACACCTCCTACACCTTTCTTCCAAAGAGAAGCCAGCCAGAGATATCATTAGCAACCTTACAAAATCAGGTGAACTTGGCACTTGGACAAAAGTGAGAGGCCAGTATCTGTTTCTGCTGCATCAGTCTGTGTGGCACAAAGCAAATCACATGGGAATGGAAAAAAAAACCAGAGCCTTTAACTGTATCTTTTTGGCTCAGTCTGTAGCATGATTTACTTACAAATACATAGAGGGCAACTCTTGCATCTAATATGCACTGCAATGTCCGCTCCACGAATTCAGAGCCATTAGGACCCAACACTGTTCTGAGCAATTCCTCTAGCGTGCTTTCCCTGGGCTCAGTCTGACTCGGATCAGAACCTGGCCTGAATACATGGCTTTTGTGGATTTAAAGTCAGGGCTTTGTTTATAGTATGATGTAAGGTTCACTTAGTTTGTATCTTGAATAATTTGAATAGGGCAATGAAGCTGGTGAGGGGTCTGGAGAGTAAGTCTTATGAGGAGAGGCTGAGGGAGCTGGGGTTATTCAGTCTGGGGAAGAGGAGACTGAGGGGAGACCTTATTGCTCTCTACAACTCCCTGAAAGGAGGGTGTAGAGAGATGGGGGTCGGTCTCTTCTCCCAAGTTACAGATGATAGGACAAGGGGTAATGGGTTCAAGTTGCACCAGGGTAGGTTTAGACTGGACATTAGGAAACAATTCTTCACAGAGAGAGTGGTCGGGCATTGGAATAGGCTGCCCAGGGAGGTGGTTGAGTCACCATCCCTGGCTGTGTTTAAGAACCGTTTAGATGTGGTGTTGGGGGATATGGTGTAGGGGAGAACTTTAGAGTAGGGTGGATGGCTGGACTCGGTGATCCTGAGGGTCTCTTCCAGCCTAGATAATTCTGTGATTCTGTGAATAATTAAATAATTATTTTTAACCGTATTTTACCTAAAGAAACACATTTTGTTTTACATTTAAAAATAGCATGGAGAGTTTCTTTTGTGTCAGTATTTTCTAGTAAGTCATTCAGATTCAGGGCTATAAGGTTTTCTTATAATTTTGTCTTTTCACTTTTGTTTGTGTAATCATAGAATCATAGAATAGTCTAGGTTGGGAGGGACCTTAAAGATCATCTAGTCCAACCATCAACCTAACTCTGACAAAAAAATAAATAAGAAATAAGCAATAAAAAAAGAAACAAAAAAAAACCCCACTAAACCATATTCTTAAGGACCATGTCAACCCATCTTTTGAACACCTCCAGGGATGGTGCCTCAACCACTTCCCTGGGCAGCTTAGTCCGTGTAATGCTGGCCTGATTGGTTAAAAGCATAATTCAAACTTAATACACTTAACAAATCCCTCCAAAAACCACCATCTTTTGAACACCTCCAGGGATGGTGCCTCAACCACTTCCCTGGGCAGCCTATTCCGTGTAATGCTGGCCTGATTGGTTAAAAGCATAGTTCAAACTTAATACACTTAACAAATTCCTCAAAAAACCTCTTTGCTCTCCTTTGACCATTGTTCTGAACACAATCTAAACCTACCCCACCTCATTAAACATTCAGACAGGAGACAACAGCGATACCAGGGGTTTTAGCCAGGCCAGCAGCAGGCAGTCTCGTACTGTCATACCCCTGGCAAATGCTGGACTTAATTTGAGTGCTCTAAAATTCTCCTGCCTTTATCAAGTAGAAGTTGAACTTCTAATTTGGTCACTGTGGTAATACTGCCCTATGATGCACTTAAAAATATCCCTCTCCTGGATACCCAAACGTTGTATCACCAATTCTTTTCGGTTATGCCAAAAAGGTTGAAGAGCTAAAGCAGCTCCACAGAAGATGGGAAAAAGATATCCCGCAGCCTTCCATTATGAGTTTCATAGAGAGTTTATGTCAAAGTCTGGTAAGGACAAATAAAAATATATCCAAGATTTGTAAACTTTGTAAAACTGACACCCTTCTCCCATTCTCTTTGTTGCCTACCGTTTGAAGCATTCCTGCTGTAAACACCTCCTGTGGAAGTGCTGATTGTAAACTCTGCTTGTAAACTCTGTAAGGAAGCTTACCCTGCTTACCCGTCCAGCTCATGCTATTTTAGCTTTATTTTAACTTTTTTGGCTTATCATCTTGAGTTCTAGAATCTTCAGCTAAAAGAACATGTGGATCAGTGAACAGCTCACAAAGCAAACAAACAGATAAGCAAAACTCAAGGTCCAAACCTCCGCAGTGTGTCAGTCCATACAAGGTGTAGCCTTTGTGGCAGAGACATTCAAAGCTTCCAGGGTAGTTGATGCAGGTGTGATCACAGGTCCTCTCGAAAGAACACTCATCTATATCTGAATTAATAGAAAAAAGCATTAAGGAATTAGAATTCATTTAAACCGAATGTCTAGAATTTCACAATCATTTGCAGCATCTCGTTACTGATAAAGTATCCTGTATCATGCCAAGTAAAATCTGAATCAAACATCATTCTCCTTCCTCTAGTGCTGTACAAAGAAAGGACTTGCAGGTACATGGAGAAAGCTCAGAAAAGATAATTTGAAAGATAAATGAAGACTGTATTATATACGTTCACCATTAGATGGCAACCTTTAACTTCTGATCATATTTATCCAGTAGGGCTGTTGGGGTATTAAGGTTTGGGGGGGTTAGCGGCACAATGGAAGAAAGTTTTGGGTTGAATGAAGTCATTCCCTCTTTCATCGACCATTCCTCTGACATCTTGCCCACCAGGACTGGGAGCTGCTCACAGGCTTCTGCTCTGCCTACGCCAGACTGTACAGCGAGTTGCACAGCTACAAGGGGTAAGCAAAATACCGCCCGAGAATAAGCCCCCATCATGAATGTCTCAGGCTGCACCTGAGATACAGGAAATCTTAGCCCAAAGTCCACATTCTACCTAACTCAGGAAAATTTGACCTCTTCCCCTTAAAAAAGTCAGGCATCTCTAATTATCACTGCTCTCTAATGCGAAACCCTTATTTACATAGTCTCTTCCACCCGGCAACCTATGAAGAAAGCAATTACCAGTACAAAGGTTTTGCTGAGCAGGGTGATATAAAGGTTTATTTGACAGAAGGCATGATGGAATGGACCTGCTGAAAACTGTTACATTAAAGGTAACCTAAATAGCAACGTATGCAAAATAACAACAATTTGAGTGAATTTTAACCTCAAACAATTAGTGGGTTTTTTAAATCCTCTTCAGTGATTAATTTTTATGTTAAAAGGCTAGACAAATTAATACGATGGTATTATTTAAGAGTGGTAATTTCAACAAATCTCATTCCTCCAATATTCCTGAGGTATAAAGGAGTGGAATAGCATTGCTCTAATCGCTTGCACACTTGAGTTGCTTATTAAGAAAATGTCCCAAGCAACACCATTACTATATGCAACTCAGACTTTCATATTGTATAAGCTTAGAAAGCTGTGGATGCTTCAAAAAACTTGAAAACTCTCTAATACCTGAGGTTATGCTACCCAATTCCTATTATCTAAGTATTATTGATATAGTTTTGATGTTTAATGAAACGTTCTAGGTCCCATCCTGCTATTAATCATGTAAATACTTCACTTCAAGAACTATAAAATTAAGATATTGCATACATGTACATAAACCCAAAATCTGTGTGAGAGTTTATGCACAAATTTAAAATGTTGTAACCAGCTATATTTTATATGATCTCCAATTTTAAGTGTTTTGAAACATTCACACAAAAGAGAATTCACAATGTGGAAAGCAACTGCTCAGGCAAATGCGTAACATAAAATGAAATACACATGATGAACAAAAATCTCTGCTATTCAGTTTTATGTGTGCATCACAATCACTTGTTATGATCAAGTAGCCAAAACCAGACAACTGAGATTTTCTCTTTTAAAATCTATTTCATTTTAATGCATTTTCTATGCATTTTGAAATATCATTATTTGAGTTCTGAAAGTAATTTCTTTTTAAGGTTTCCTTTATAGTCTTGGAAATATGCAGCTTTTGAATACACATAAATGGCAAACTGTTTCAGTTTTCTCTAAATAAATACATAAAGCAAAATCATTTGGGAATGAACACTGCAGTTATAGTTTTAAAGGATTTTTAATGCATAAGAAGCCAAATCATACATCATGGTTTCATTCATGTGTAACCTTGTTCGCTATATGGTATTATAGGAAATGTACAAAAGCAGTTCATTTTCTGGCCTCTGACTTACCTTGGAAAGCTCTTTTTCAAAAATAAGTTTGTATTTCTCAACAGTGCTCTCATCCTGTACTGTTATAGTCAGTGGGGTTTATGCGTCGCTTTCACACGTACCACTTTGTGTTGTTTCATATTATAGCTTAGGTCTTTACAGGCTTTTCTGCACATTAAGAAGGATGCAAACCCCTCTTTGCCTGTGGAAACAACAGTCTGCCCAACAGTGGGAGCAGCCAGCTGCTCGCCAAGGAACAGCCACTCACGATGGACAAACCCATTTCTATCACACAACGTATCAGCGACTCATAAACTTCTACTGCTTACCCTGCCTGGCAGGGACGCCCAAACAAACACTGTTATTATAATACAAAGACGCCTATTAAAAGCTCTTTCGCCATCGAAACCCCTCATCCCACCTCCTGCTGCTGGTCTCATAAATTCAACCTCTGCTGAATTCAGCATCTTGCTTTGGCTGATGAGGGAAAGCCTCCTTGCAGATTTTTTCCTTGCTTAACAACAAGCCCCTCGGCCCCCTCTCCTTCTCGCCTGCGGAGGGTAGGGTTAGGCACTGCCCAGCCCAGCTTTCCACGGCGCCCGATCTGCAGAATCACCAGTCCCCTGAGGAATTCAGCACTGGTCATAGAAAAGGGGAAAATATGCACCACGTGCGCTTCACTAAAAGAAACCGGCGGTGTGATACAGGATGCTGAAATACTCCCACACTTCTTTTTTTGTTGTTAAAAAACTCTGAAATCTCTGGTCTGGGCACTGTTATCCCCTGGCTCCCAGCAACTTTGAAGTTGGCCCTCACACCTTTGTGGTGCTCCATAACGCTGCTTCATATTTACCCTGAAAGGATGTGCTTATTTCCCTCCACCCTCATGATACAGGTATAATCTCATAAAAGACTAAGAAGCGCTTGGTTTTCACCTTCACACCTCTGGGTTTCAAATCCTGCTTAGCACACAACTGGGAATGAACGTAGGTATCAAAATCTTTTTCTCCTTCGTACAAACAACACTACAGAATCCGGTAGCATTACCTACTGAAGAGAAGCCCAAAAATACAAAAGCAGAGATGTGGCAGGTTACAGCTAAAGCACTGAAAACAAATAATTTCTCTTTCAGTTTTGTGGTCACCCCTTACCCCCCCACAACACATGTACAGACTCAAACACACATACATTTTTGTATCGGGTCACTCCATGTTTCCCCTCTCCCACACACCAAAATAAATACTAAGAAATTAACTTTTTGGGTCTGGGGCACTCTTTAAATGATTTAAAAGTTATTTGAATTTAATTTTTGAACTGTTTCAACATGAAAAGCCAAAATGTTTTGCTTTCGAGGAACTACAGTGGAAAACCTCAACTTGAGGTTGAAGTTTCTATTCTATTTATAGCTGAATTTGGCATGAATTCACAAACAGTCCAAGCTGCCTCAGAACATTTGCTCAGATTTGCTAATGCACTTATTTGATACCAGACACATTCTTTTTACTTTCAGTTAGTCAAAAGTTCCTATCACGTTCACCACCGTAATCAGCATATCTGATTGTGACATTTCAACACATCAAGGGACATCTTCACAGCTTAACTGTTTGAAGCTTACAGGAACTATGGGGCTAAATACATCTTCAGTAGTACACGATCAGTTTCCTGCCAGAGGTAGGTTTTTTTCAGGGTTACTAACAGTTGGCTATAAATTCTAAGATGCGGAACTCCCCATTCACAGCAGATGACTCAGTGGAAGCATCAATTCAGGGGTTGGAGCAGATGACCTACAGAAGTCCCTGCCAACCTCCACCCCTGATTCACGTGCACACTGGTTGTCCCAGCCCTCTCTAAAGGCACTCTCTTTATGGAGTCCTGTGCTGCTGAGAGCTCTCCTTCCAGTTGCTGTTTCCGTGACATCAAGGCATCATCTCAGACTCTATAAAATTCAACATCTCTTCTATCAATCCACGTTCTCATCTCCGAAGAGAATGTTGGAATAGTGGAAGCACTTTATTTTTGCCTAGAAGGGATTCAACTCGATGAGATTGTTCAATGGTTTATTAAAAGAGGAGGATTTCCCTGTGTTGACAATGGTGGTCATGCTTGATAATATTTGTTTGGCTCTGCTCCTACTATTTCAAGCCAGCATTTGTGTTTTATTGTTGATTTTTCAGTCATACTTTTTTGTTGTTGTTGTTGTTCATGCTTTCACACATTAAATGATCCCAGAATGATCTTTATTTTTCTTGAACATAATGTTTGTTAGCAGGTGTCAGATCGTCAGTATTGGAAAGTAAATCCTTCCATCTATCTCCAGAAGGGAGCTACCACAGATCAAATTTCTTCTAAGTTTCCTCACGCAGATATGTCTCAAAGGTGACCTGAGGGAGCAGGGAGAAAGCAGCTCATTCTCCAGGCTCATTCAAGTCCCTGCCCTTTCCACTGATGCTGGTAGTAAACTCCCAATTACAGTAGCACCAGTAGCACCAATTGTTCTGGTGGTTTGTCTGATGTGGACACTGACTCATTTGTGGACGTAGAGTGCAGGGCACCAAGAAGCCACCACACAGTAATGATTTTTGCTCAGTCTGAAACTGAGCTGGATCCCTACCAGCATCTCTGAAGTGAAAGGCTCCTTTCTGTATCCTGCTTCCAGTCCTCAAATGCAGTGCCCTGGATTCTTGATTGTCATTGCTTTCTTCTCTAAAATAAACTTCAGAGTAATTAAAAGAAACCCATGGTCAGGAAATTAAAGTGCAATGCAGGACATTTCCAAAAAGCATTAGCGTTGTGAGCAAGCAGCTCAACGCTAAACATTTACAGGTGAGGCTGGTAAATAGCACTTGTTTAAACAGAGATGTTTTGAGGACTGCAAACTGATGTGGAATCTGCTGTGACTCCCTGACAGAAAGTACAGATGTAAAACTCACTCGCACAGAGGTACAGGTGTGATTTGGGGCTTGCACCTATAGAACTCAACAACTCAATGACCAGTTTGCCCAATCTCACATTAAAAATTTACTGCGAAAATAAGGATTGCCTCTCTCTTTCTTCCTTAATATCATTTTGTTTATTAATATTTATAACAAGTGAAGAAATTGGTGAGCAAAAACCAAAGGTCATCATGACAGCTTTTCTCTGAG